TGTTTGCCTGCAACGCTGCGCCTTGGTCTACTCCGTCTAACGATCGTGACAGAAGATCCCACCATACCAGGACCAAGCAGCGTGTCCAGGAGCAGGCGGCCTGGACATGGGAGGAAGCGCCGGGAAAGGAGCTGGAAAGGTTGGCGATGGCCCAGGTGGGCAAATCGTGGTCCTGGGAGGACATGCTCGGGGGCAAGGGGCCATGGTCTAAGATTAAGGCCCTGGCGAGAGAGGAGCAACGGCGTCAACAGTGTCGTCGTCGGACGGACGAGAGGCAACCCCAGAAATTTTTTAGGGGGGGGCACACGGCATGGGCGACTGGGCAGCAGGAGGCTGCCACAGGGCGAAATGGGAGACGAGGAGAGAAGGCCACCGGGTTACGGGAGCCATTGGTGAGAGGAGGGAAGGAAGTTGTAGAGGCACGGCGAGAGGTACTGAGGTGTATTGCCAGTCCGGTCCGGCCCGTTCCTGATCCCCGTTTAAGGCCAGTGGTGTGTGTTCCCAGTACGGTCCGGCCTGTTCCTGTTCCTCGCACCAAGCCTACGGTGTGCGTCGCCAGCCCGGTCCGGCCTGTTCCTGCTCCTCGCACCAAGCCTACGGTGCGCGTCGCCAGCCCGGCCCGGCCTGTTCCTGCTCCTCGCACCAAGCCTACGGTGCGCGTCGCCAGCCCGGCACGGCCTGTTCCTGCCACTCGCACCAAGCCTACGGTGCGCGTCGCCAGCCCGGCCCGGCCTGTTCCTGCTCCTCGCACCAAGCCTACGGTGCGCGTCGCCAGCCCGGCCCGGCCTGTTCCTGCTCCTCGCACCAAGCCTACGGTGCGCGTCGCCAGCCCGGCCCGGCCTGTTCCTGCCCTTCGCACCAAGCCTACGGTGTGCGTCGCCAGCCCGGCCCGGCCTGTTCCTGCCACTCGCACCAAGCCTACGGTGTGCGTCGCCAGCCCGGCCCGGCCTGTTCCTGCCACTCGCACCAAGCCTACGGTGTGCGTCGCCAGCCCGGCCCGGCCTGTTCCTGCTCCACGCACCAAGCCAGGGGTGCGAGTCGTCAGCCCGGTCCGGCCCGTTCCTGCTCCACGCACCAAGCCAGGGGTGCGAGTCGTCAGCCCGGTCCGGCCCGTTCCTGCTCCACGCACCAAGCCAGGGGTGCGCATCGTCAGCCCGGTCCGGCCCGTTCCTGCTCCACGCACCAAGCCAGGGGTGCGCATCGTCAGCCCGGTCCGGCCCGTTCTTGCTCCACGCACCAAGCCAGGGGTGCGCATCGTCAGCCCGGTCCGGCCCGTTCCTGCTCCACGCACCAAGCCAGGGGTGCGCATCGTCAGCCCGGTCCGGCCCGTTCCTGCTCCACGCACCAAGCCAGGGGTGCGCATCGTCAGCCTGGTCCGGCCCGTTGCTGCTCCACGCACCAAGCCAGGGGTGCGAGTCGTCAGCCCGGTCCGGCCCGTTCCTGCTCCACGCACCAAGCCAGGGGTGCGCATCGTCAGCCCGGTCCGGCCCGTTCCTGCTCCACGCACCAAGCCAGGGGTGCGCATCGTCAGCCCGGTCCGGCCCGTTCCTGCTCCACGCACCAAGCCAGGGGTGCGCATCGTCAGCCCGGTCCGGCCCGTTGCTGCTCCACGCACCAAGCCAGGGGTGCGCATCGTCAGCCCGGTCCGGCCCGTTCCTGCTCCATGCACCAAGCCAGGGGTGCGCGTCGTCAGTCCGGCACAACCCGTGCCTGGGTCACTGGTGCCTGGTCAGGTACCGGTCAGCTGCTCCACACCGGAGCTTAAGCAATCCGCTCCTACGATGTCCAGTCCAGCTCCAGCCAGCGGGGCCAGACCGGACCAGGGGCGCTACGGGGGGATTATTGGAGGGTGGTGGGCGAGCCCGGAGCCGGAACCGCCTCCGAGGAGGAATGCCCACCCAGCCCTCCCCTGTTTGGTCTATGTTGAGGCGCGGTCACAGTCTGCGCCTTTAGGGGGGGGGGTACTGTCAAACCCTGGCTCTGGGACTCTATATGTTGAGCCAGGGTGTGTATATTCTATGTGTTGTGTTTCTATGTCGGGATTCTAGTTTTGTATTTCTGTGTTGGCCAGAGTGGTTCCCAATCAGAGGCAACGAGTGTCAGCTGTTGCTGGTTGTCTCTGATTGGGAGCCATATTTATACAGGCTGTTTTCCCACAATAGTTGTGGGATCTTGTTCCAGTTGGTTTGTTCCTTTTGGTTTGTACCGTAGGACTGCACGTATTGTTTGTTGTTTTGTTCGAGTGTTTACTCTCTTTAAATAAAGGATGTTTGCCTGCAATGCTACGCCTTGGTCTACTCCGTCTAACGATCGTGACAGATATGTTTAGCTAAGGATAGCAAAGTCATCACATTATTGTGCAAACGCAAAAGCGCAAAAGCGCACACGCAAACACACACGCGCACATACACATAGGCACGCATGCACACCAGAAGCCATAAAGGGAATATTGGGATAGCAATTGGACCATAGTTCCTTGAAAAGTTATTTTAAAACAGTAGAAACACAATTGCTGATTTTGCTCAGTGTTGGCCCTACAGCAGTAACTGATATTATACACCCACCATGAGTGGGTTCCTACTGTTAGACCAACATTTTTAGCTTGTATCATAAGGGGTTCATAAAACTGTCATTACTGTAACAGAGGCATGACCCAAACCATATCCTGGTAAGCTAGTTTGGTAGAGGTACAGTAGGTCAAGCCAATTAGCCTGAAACAACAATTTGACTTAAACAATTGTTTGTGTCTGTTGTCATGAGCTCAAATCAATCAAATCAAATGTTATTTGTCACCTGCTTCGTAAACAACAGGTGTAGACTAACAGTGAAATGCTTACTTACGGGCCCTTCCCAACAATGCAATGAGAAAAATAGAAAAATATGAAAATAAATTATAACACAAGGAATAAATACACAATAACTTGGCTATATACATGGGGTACCAGTACCGAGTGGATGTGCAGGGGTACGAGGTAATTGAGGTAGATACAGTATGTACATATAGGTAGGGGTAAAGTGACTACGCAACAGGATAGATAATAAACAGTAGCAGAAGCATATGTGATGCGTCAAAAGAGTTAGTGCAAAAATAATCAATGCAGGAAGTCCGGGTAGCTATTTGGTTAACTATTTAGCAGTCTTTTGGCTTGAGGGTAGAAGCTGTTTTGGATCCTCTTGGTTCCAGACTTGGTGCATCGGTACCGCTTGCCGTTGCAGAGAGAACAGTCTATGACATTGGTGGCTGGAGTTTTTGACAATTGTTAGCCTGGTATAGTCCTGGATGGCAGGGAGCTCGGCCCCAGTGATGTACTGGGCCGTACGCACTACCCTCTGTAGTTCCTTATGGTTGGATGCCAAGCAGTTGCCATACCAAGCGGTGATGTAGCCAGTCAAGATGCTCTCAATGGTGCAGCTGTAGAACGTTTTGAGGATCTGAGGGCCCATGCCAAATCTTTTCAGCCTCCTGAGGGGAAGAGCCGTTGTCGTGCCTTCTTCACGACTGTGTTGGTGTGTGGACCATGTTAATTCCTTAGTGATGTGACACCTAGGAACTTGAAGCTCTCAATCCACTCCACTACAGCCCCGTCAATGTGGAAGGGGGCGTGATTGGCCCTCCGTTTCCTGTAGTCCACGATCATCTCCGTTGTCTTGCTGACACTAAGGGAAAGGTTGTTGTCCTGGCACCACACTGCCAGGTCACTGACATCCTCCCTAAAGGCTGTTTCATCGTCGTTGGTGATCAGCCCTACCACCGCCGTGTCGTCAGCAAACTTAATGATGGTGTTGGAGTTGTGTGTGGCCACGCAGTCATGGGTGAACATGGAGTGCAGGAGGGGACTAAGCACGTAACCCTGAGGGGCCCCCGTTTTGAGGGTCAGTGTGGTGGATCTGTTGTTGCCTACCCTCACCACCAGGGGGTGGCCCGTCAGGAAGTCCAGGATCCATTTGCAGAGGGAGGTGTTCAGTCCCAGGGTGCTGAGCTTAGTGATGAGGTTGGAGGGCACTATGGTGTTGAACGCTGAACTGTAGTCAATGAACAGCATTCTCACAAAGGCAGTGTGGAGTGCAATAGAGGTTGTGTCATCTGTGGATCTGTTGGGGCGGTATGTGAGTTGGAGAGGGTCCAAGGTGTCTGGGATGATGGTGTTGATGTGAGCCATGACCAGCCTTTCAAAGCATTTCATGGCTACAGATGTGAGTGCTATGGGGCGATAGTCTTTTAGACAGGTTACCTTGGCGTTCTTGGGCACAGGGACTATGGTGGTCTGCTTGAAACATGTAGGTATTACAGACTGGGTCAGGGAGAGGTTGAAAATGTCAGTAAAGACACTTGCCAGCTGGTCAGCGCATGCTCTGAATACGCATCCTGGTAATCCGTGAATCTTAACCTGTTTAGAGGTATTACTCACATCAGCTACGGAGAGGGAGATCACGCAGTTGTCCGGAACAGCTGGTGCTCTCATGAATGATTCAGTGTTGCTGCTATCAGCTGCCATGACTGTTTATGACAGTATGTTATATAATTATCTGAATTAATAATAGATAAAAGCAATGTCATGGTGGAAATATAATTAAGCTTTCAACTAGTCCTGTCAAATAGGCCTACAGTACACTGTTTATGTATATATATATATATAGGCACATTGTAGATATAAAAAACAAAACACAAGGATATAATAAGAACCAATGTAAAGACCTGCTCAACTTTAGATTTGGCACATATTTGTGGTTACTGTTAGTCATCCAAAGTTAGGGGACAGAGGGACTTCAAAGTGCATGATCATCCTTCACTAAATATGTAGCTTCTGGTAACAAACTTTCCACCAATCAGGACGCTCGCTACAGTCTCGCAGCAAGAGTAGAAATTTAACCTGGACCGAATTACGGAGAAACAACCCGCTGTAAACTCTCCTGTCTGTGCGAAAACAGACAATAGTCATTATTTTCCCGCTGGCATAGTTTCTAATGATCACTTTAGGGATTCGTTCAGAGCAATGACAATGTTGGGAATGTATGTGCCAGATAGATTTTCTTTGAAATCATCTAAGGTCCAGGATGGAATCGGGCTTTACACGGCGAGACGAGTGAAAAAGGTTTGTTATTTTGGACAGGACAACTTTGTATGTTTTGGGTATGAAGAAACTTACCAACGCGCAAAACTCATTCGGTGAATCGGAGAAAGGCAGTTTTCTGTTCGTATTTTGGTTTTTTTGCGAGTCGTTCCTAAAATCTCAAGCCATAGCCTACTTGAATGCTGCTCTGACGTGAAGTGCCACGTAGATACTGTAACTAGCTCACTCCACAACAATGCTCACTTTGAACTCAACTCTCGTGTGTTACACAGTAACACATGTGTTGATACATTGTAACATTGTTTCATTGCATATTGCACTGAACACTTACGTTTCCTATGCTGTCATTTAACTTTCATACTCAAAATTAATATTGTATTATAGGCTATTCCACAATATTGTAACCAAGTTGACAATGTTGCAAACAATGGTGGTTCAAAATGGTGCAAACAATGTTTTATATTGAAAGTTATTAAACACTGCAAATGGCCAGGCTACCTATTCATTTGGCAATCTCACATTGTTCAAAACTTTGAACATGAATGCTTCATTCATGAGGAACACATCTTGAGCACACCCCCTCTTGTAGGGTCCAAAGTGAAACGCATAGGATGGATTCATGGACAATACTATGTATTATAATACTATAGTCCTATACTGTTTTACACTATTTTCTACTACATTCTTTTTGGCATCTATTCCATCGCACAATTTATATCTGGTTGCCTTCACACAGCCCCTGACAGTTCTGGAAAATACCTCTAGTAAAAAAGAAAGACAAGAAAAATGAATATCCTGTATCCTCAAATTCTGACAATGTGGGTTTTCTACAAGGGGGAAAAGTTTGGCCCTTTCGCTGGAGAGAAGAAACTGCCGAGTGAGCTGAATGAGAGCACGGACACCAGACTGATGTGGGAGGTGATACTAACACAGACTTCCTCTACTCCTTTAACACTGCAGTCACAGCACAGCATGTTTCTCTTCATAAGCACAATAGATAGATGCTAAATAAGTATACTTTATATAATTCAATAAATAATATTTATTTCTGTGTAGGCCTACTATTGAAATGAAAGGATAAATAGTTGAATTATGTGGCAGTTCAGATACAGCACAGGTGATGCTTAATTGGAGAAGCTAGTTTGATGCACATACACTTGTTGACTGTAGAGTCTTGTTTTTGTAATGAGTCTTGGTTTGGCAAACTCCACCCACATCTTGTGCCTCTGTTATTCAAAGTGCAATTATGTTTTATTCCCATCATTAGGTTTAGAATTTATTTGAGATAAGGGACAGGTTTAATTACATTTCAGATCAGTGAGATGATGTGTTTATTTACAAGTAACTGATTACCTGTCAACCATAAAGAATTCAGGTGTGGTCTGAAATTATATACTGAAGAAAAAAAATAAACGCAACATTTAAAGTTTCATGAGCTGAAATAAAAGATCACAGAAATGTTCCATATGCACAAAAAGCTTATTTCTCTCAAATGTTGTGCACAAATTTGTTTACATCCCTGTTAATAAGCATTTTTCCTTTGCTAAAATAATCCATCCACCTGACAGGTATGGCATATCAAGAAGCTTATTAAACAGCATGATCATTACACAGGTGCACCTTGTGCTGGGGACAATGAAAGGTCATTCTAAAATGTGCAGTTTTGTCACACAACACAATGCCACAGATGTCTCAAGTTTTGAGGAAGAGTGCAATTGGTATGCTGACTGCAGGAATGTCCACAAGTAATGTTAATTTCTCTACCATAATCTGCCTCTAACGTCGTTTTAGAGAATTTGTCAGTACATCCAACCGGCCTCACAACCGCAGACCATGTGTAACCAGGCCAGCCCAGGACCTCCACATCCGGCTTCTTCACCTGCCTGATGGTCTCAGACGAGCAACCCGGACAGCTGATGAAACTGTGGGTTTGCACATCCCAAAGAATTTCTGCACAAACTGTCAGTTGTCCTCATCAGGGTCTTTAGCTGACTGCAGTTCGGCGTCGTAACTGACTTCAGTGGGCAAATGCTCACCTTCGATGGCCACTGGCACTCTGGGGAAGTGTGCTCTTCACGGTTGAATCCCGGTTTCAACTGTACCGGGCAGATGGCAGACAGTGTGTATGGCGTCGTGTGGGCGAGCATTTGCTGATGTCAACGTTGTGAACATAGTGCCCCATGGTGGTGGTGGAGTTATGGTATGGGCAGGCATAAGCTACGGACAACGAACACAATTGCATTTTATCGATGGCAATTTGAATGCACAGAGATACTGTGATGAGATCCTGAGGCCCATTGTCGTGCCATTCATCCACCGCCATCACCTCATGTTTCAGCATGATAATGCACGGCCCCATGTCGCAAGGATCTGTACACAATTCCTGGAAGCTGAAAATGTCCCAGTTCTTCCATGGCCTGCATACTCACCATACATGTCATCCATTGAGCATGTTTGGGATGCTCTGGATTGACCTGTACGACAGCGTGTTCCAGTTCCCACCAATATCCAGCAAACTTCGCACAATCAACAGCCTGATCAACTCTATGCGAAGGAGATGTGTCGCGCTGCATGAGGCAAATGGTGGTCACACCAGATACTGACTGGTTTTCTGATCCATGCCCCTACCTTTTTTTAAAGGTATCTTTGACCAACAGATGCATATCTGTATTCCCAGTCATGTGAAATCCATAGACTAGGGCCTAATGAATTTATTTCAATTGACTGATTTCCTTATATGAACTGTAACTCAGTAAAATCTTTGAAATTGTTGCATGTTGCGTTTTATATTTTTTCTCAGTGTAGTATAGTCATCTAGTAATCTATAACTTTCATGTTATATTGGATAGAACCACATTGTTTTATATCACAGGGTTTTTCATGGCAACTGTGATTTAGTTTGTTAAACTGCATCTCCAGATGAACAGAAAGCTAGATCAAGAAGCTAGGTCTGTCTATGGAAATGAGACATTAATTCCAGCCAACAGTATTTCATGTTCTTGATAGGCATGTCTGTTCTCTGTTGCAGGTCCGAGGTAATAAAGGCGATGTGCTCTATGTTTTGGATGCCAGTAACCCTCGCCATGCCAACTGGCTGCGTTTTGTCCATCAGGCGCCATCACAAGAGGAGAAGAACCTGGCAGCCATCCAGGTACAGCCCCACACTGAAGATAGTAACACCTTCAGACCTATCTACAGGGAGAGACACAGATAGAGCTGGGTATCAGCACATATCTCTGAGAGAGAAGGGGGGAGAGAGAGGGAGAAGGAGAGAGAGAGAGAAATAAAGAGAGAGAAGATGGACATCAGAGAGAAAGAGTCGAAGAGAAGCGAGGGAAAGTTGGTGAGAGTGAGTTGAGATGGATAGTGAGAGTGAAATGAAGATGGGGAATGTGGATTTTTTGTTTTGTCTGCCTGTGCAGACAGCTTGTAAGATTGCACCATGTGCTACTGATCAAGCCTGCCATATCAAAAGGAGATGTGAAGGTGGTTCTGTTTGATGACCGTGTGAGATGAGGCGTCTTTCACAGCTGTAAGTAACTCCCTCTCAAAGTGTCTGAACTTCCTATGAAAATCTTCTCTAGTGCTTTGTGCATCCCTTACATAAACATTTAACAAAACTTGTCAATCTCTGTGATTAAGATCAGATTAATTATATCCATAATCCCCCAAACACAGACAACCCATACACAATCAGATCTATTGGCCAAGGTCATGAACACACACACATCATGTGTACATGACCTTAGCCTATGCACTTAAACACACACACACACACACACACACACACACACACACACACACACACACACACACACACAGACACACACACACACAGACACAGACACACAGACACAGACACAGACACACACACACACACACACAGACACACACACACACACATACACACACACACACACACACACACACACACACACACACACACACACACACACACAGACACACACACACACAGACACACACACACACACACACAGACACACACACAGACACACAGACACAGACACACACACACACACACACGAGTCAGGGCTTGGCCTGGGAAATCTCAGCTAGAGGAAAAGGAAAAATCGCGGTAGAAGGGAAGAGGAACAGAACCTGTGATCTTCTGGCTGAGGTTCTGTCGTTAATGCCAGAGTGCTAAAAGTGATCGCTTGTTCAAAGGTCATTCATGTGTGTTAGAGGTCTGTGTTACATCATAAGTGTAATTTATTGTGTTTCTCTCTGTTAAATTAATATATATATATGTCTATTCATAAATGCCTTAGCCAAAGGAAAATGACGCTTTGATTTGATTAGACCGTGACCTTTAGGATGTGGAAGTTAATGATGACATGTTTAGGAGTTGGAGTGTTTGACCTCCGACCTTAATCAAGCCTCAGCAGACGAGTGTCTAGGTTTAATGAGTTCAACCTTCAGCGACCCCTTTTTTCCCTCTGTCTGTGTGTGTGTGTGTGTATGGGAATGATTATGGTTCTGATCTCTCAGGACGGAGAGAATATCTTCTACCTGGCAGTGGACGACATTGAGACAGACACAGAGCTGCTGATAGGCTACCTGGACAGTGATATGGAGGAAGAGTCAGAGGAGGAGGAAGAGGAAAGCATCGAAGATGAAGATGAAAACAGCAAAGATGCCAAACATCTCGTTGAAATGGGTACATGCCTAACAAAGTTTTACCTAAACCATGTTTATAAACAGTGTTTTGTCAGTCCAACAGTTTATGCTTGAAGTGTGTAATGCTTGCACACAGCTTATACTCATACACAGCTGATATGGCTGCATGTGTGTGTAATGTGTAATAATGAGTGTATGTGTGCAGAGAGGCTGATCAAGAAGGAGGACCACCCGTGCCTGCTGTGTGAGAGCAGCTTCCCTAGTGAGGAGATCCTAGCAGCCCACCTCCAGAGCCTGCACCAGAGACCCAGTACCGAGGAGAAAGAGTACAAGTGCAGGAACTGTGGCAAGAAGTTCCCCATCAAACAAGCCCTGCAGCGCCAGTGTGTAGCCTACGTCATCTCTCTACTCTACTTACCTGACACTCTATTGAGTTACACAGAAGTATGCTACCAAATGGGTCATATAGTGGAACTGACAGATTTGCACATACTCAGTACATTTTGTTCAGCCTCTCTATTCGTTTCCTGATGTAGGACACCTGAACATGTAGTAGTATTTATGTTCATATCTTTATAGCCTACTCCTATCTGACTCTGTATACCTCCTTCATTTTGCCCTCAGTGTTCTGCACTGTGCGGAGACCCTGTGTCCTTCAGGAGACTTTTTCAGAGCCCACCACCATTGTTCCCTCTGCTACATCACCTTCGGCTCAGAGTCCAGGTAGACCTACATAACTAGAACACAAACATACACACTAGCATAATATGTATACAGGGGCTGCTATCTGTTCCTGTCTGAGTTCCTGTATATTTGAGTCACTGTGTCTGTATTTCCTGTGTGTGTGTGTAGTTATGACCAGCACAAGGAGGTGTGTAGAGGAGATGCCAGGTTCATCTGTAAGGCTGAGAGCTGTGGGAAGAGGTTCAAGAGCAAAGACTCTCTGAAGAAACACAAAGGGAACGTCCACACAGGTTGGTCTCCGTCTCACACACATGCAAGTATGCAATGTATACAGACACATACCCCACACTGGTGATGAAGTAGAAACAAGTATCTGCCTTGATCTTTTACCAGTCTGGTCAGTATAGGGGTGTGTAGGCGAGGGGGATGTGGTGTAGGCTCTATAGATGTGGCACACGTGACTCATAAATAAATGGGTTGTTCCATCAATTTGGTGCCTTTTGAGAAGTGTAACTTGGTCCAAAGAAACAAAATGTACATTCTGTTATAAAGAGCACATGTTTAACTTAATAAAAAATGTGTTTTCCGATCTCGAGGTTAAATAAAATAAATAACTAAAGTAAGTGCCAAATAAAGTAACAGGGTTGACCGTAACAGGGTTGACTGTGGCAGGGTTGACTGTAATAGGGTTGACAATTTCATCTTGAGTCCCATTGTGACTGGAGGAATGGAAGCTTATTGTGTGCAACAGGTAGTGGCAATTGAATGCAAGCTTCACAAAATATATATAAATATAAAATATAAATTGTTAAAACATTTTCTAGCCTATCTATGCGTAACATGGTTGACCGTAACATGGTTGACCGTAACATGGTTGATGTGTTATGCTCGCCATGCTCAGTTTTACTCAACAAAACACCAGCAAATGCGGCGGCAGGTAGCTTAGTGGTTAAGAGCGTTGTGCCAGTAACCGAAAGGTCACTGGTTCTAATCCCCGAGCCGACTAGGTGAAAAATCTGTCGATGTGCCCTTGAGCAAGGCACTTAACCCTAATTGCTCCTGTAAGCCGCTCTGGATAAGAGCGTCTGCTAAATGACTAAAATGTAAATGGCCAGAAAGAGTAGAACCAGCTCACCTGCTTTTACACTATGATTTGACTATTAGATTTTCAATGTTTTTTTTGTTGTTGTTTTTTTAAAGGAAAAGTTTGATCATATTAAAAAGAGAGTTCAGTTCACGTAACAGGGTTGACTTTAAAATGAGGGACAGACGTAAATTAATCCTTACATGAAATAAATAATAATCTTCAGAAATTAATTTGTCAAAGCAGCAAAATAACTAGGGCTTTACAATCATGGTGAAAACTTGGAGAAATTTTGGGGTTAAGTGGGTAAATATCTTCCTAGAAGTCACATGTAAAAATGCTGAATTTTGTTGAAATGACGTGGAAGCAACGTTGATTCAACCAGTGTGTGCCCAGTGGGCAGTGGTGGCAGACAGCCTTCATTAGTGACCCTGTCATGTTTATGTTACATTTTCGTTGCCCCCGACAGTCGGAAGTGAACATACATCTGGTAATTAAACTTTGACCTCAAGTGATTATCTGATAGAATGTGTGTATTTGTCTGCTTGTGCTTCCGATGGAATTGGCTTTGCCATGAGGTGAGTGATTATGCTGTTCACTAACATGTGGAATGCCCTAACCATTGTTGCCATTGCTAGCCACCACATCATCACACTGTAGATTGAGGCATGAAAAGCAGGATTGGTCACTCTGCTTGTCCAATCATTGTGTTTCAGGAAGTTCCAGGCGGAAGCTCATGTGCACCATCTGCAACAGGAAATGCTCTTCCTTACTGAACCTCCAGGAACATCGCAAGGTCAGGTTCCTACCTACTACCGCACTGTCTCACTTTTTCACTGTCTCTGGTTTACCCGTATTCCTAGACACGTTTTGATCCTTCAGAGATCTGGAAGGACTGGATAGGTGTAAGGTGTATGTTGTAATGGCTCCCAGTCCACTTAGCCCTCTGGTGTCTAGGGCCAGGGGCTAGTGGTTGGTTTCACTCTGGCCATGTCTATTCCTTTAAGCTCTATTTCCTCCATATCCCTCCATCTCTTTTTGTTCCATTCCTTTGTGTCCCTGTCCCCTAATCCCATGCTCTCTGTCTCCTGTCTCACTCTTCTTCTGTCTCTGTAGGCGGTTGGCTTTATGTTTAAGTTGTTATATTTTCAGACCGTGTGACAGTAGAGAAAGGTTGTTTTTTATTTCACAAGCTCATCCCCACAGACTCTCATGAAACTTAACACACATGAACTGGCGAGCAGACAATAAGGCTTTAACCCTGGCGTCAGGATTCTTCCTCTCAGAGATGGACTTAGAAAACCCCCTGAAAAATGACAGAACCACAGAACCATTATGTTACACTACTTTTAGAGATTAATGGAGGTAAGGTATTTCCATCACAAACTATCTCACAGTGAAGCATCTTTATATGCTTGAAGTGAATTATCTTGGAGAATATCTTTGCAGTGAGTTATTTGATTATTTTGAAATTGGTTTCGCTTCCCATCCAAATGAGGATTTTATATTTATGACCCGTGAACCCAGCTGGTGTTTGGGTGAGGTTTCATATTCCCTGTCAACATCGATCCAATAGATTAATCAGAAGATATTAATCCACTCTAATGAACTGAACAGGGTCATAAGAGATTCATAATGAACACACTTCATCAGCAAAGGTTATGTTACTGTAATCACTAAGACATTTTTAGATAGTTCTGGAACAGATCAACCAACCAACCAATCAACCAGCCAACCAACCTATCAGTCAATCAATCAGGTTTTTCTTATCTCTAAAATTCCATGCAATGTATTTGAAAAGGGAGAGTACATTGCCCTATTATGACCTTTTCATGCTGCCAGTGCCAGTCCTATCAATTCAATATGTGGCACATATGAACTTGAGAAAGGTTTAAGCAAGCTTTGATGTGTTAATGATGCTCTAATCATCAGCCTTTGCCTGTGAGAGAGGCTCTTTCCTCATTGACAGTAGACACAGAAAATGTGTATCGATACAGGGAGATTTGGGTCAGTTGCAACCCGAATTCAATGAATGCTTCATTCTTCTCTTGTATGAAGTAGTTTATTTAGTCATACTTACATGGCTTATATGTTACAGATTTCATTGGAACAATCATGTGCTGAGGTTTAAAAGACATTAAGCAAAAAAAGAGGCCAAAGTTCTATTGAACAGAAGACATGTTACAGCTGAGTTAGAGACAGACACTTCAGAACCTAGCATTATGATTAGTCAGAACCTAGCATTATGATTCGTCAGAACCTAGCATTATGATTAGTCAGAACCTAGCATTATGATTCGTCAGAACCTAGCATTATGATTCGTCAGAACCTAGCATTATGATTAGTCAGAACCTAGCATTATGATTCGTCAGAACCTAGTATTATGATTAGTCAGAACCTAGTATTATGATTCGTCAGAACCTAGCATTATGATTAGTCAGAACCTAGTATTATGATTCGTCAGAACCTAGTATTATGATTAGTCAGAACCTAGCATTATGATTCGTCAGAACCTAGTATTATGATTAGTCAGAACCTAGCATTATGATTCGTCAGAACCTAGCATTATGATTCGTCAGAACCTAGCATTATGATTCGTCAGAACCTAGCATTATGATTCGCACAAGAGCAATCAAACTTAGCATTATGATACGTTTGCGCAAAAGCTACTTAAACCAGCCATTATTATAATTTGCCTGAACTGCACATTCTTAGTTTTATTATAGAAGCTCTGAGCAGAGGAGCAATTCAGTCTTAGTGTATTGTAGCATTAGACAGAAGAGCTATCAAATGTGCTATTATTCCAACCATGCTGAGAGCAGAAGAAGGATTCAAACTTTTCAGCAGTTTAATTATATTTCTGTGTGCAGACTTAGTTGAGCAAGGAGTGAAAGAGTGTGTGTATGTGTGTCTGTGAATATTCCTCTGCCTGCAAGTGTGGAAAAGGTTACACATCAAGGTCACACATTGTCATTTACAGTACACAGCGTGCAACGAAATCCACAATCTCTGTCTCTTACATAACCCCCCGTATGTCTGGTCTGTTGGGTACTTTATGTATCTCCAGGTACATGAGATATTCGACTGTGCTGCCTGCGACAAGAAATTCATCTCGACCAATCAGCTCAAGCGCCACATGATCACTCACTCAGGTAAAAGAGCACACACACACACACGCACACACACACACACAGCTACACTCAGACATCATATATATTCTCTCTCTCTCTGTTCCTGGTTAGAGAAACGTCCGTATACCTGTGAGATCTGCAGTCGTTCATTCAAGCGTCTGGACCAGGTGACGGCCCATAAGATCATACACAGCGAGGAAAAGCCCTACAAGTGTAAGTTGTGTGGGAAGGAGTTTGCCCACAGGAACGTCTACAAGAACCACAAGAAGGTGAGCAGGGAATGGGGTCAGAAAGCTGTAGTCTCTTTTCAGTAGGACAGAATGCTTCAACTACATAAAAGGTGGATGTGACAGATTTAAATGGGTGGTTTTTAATATGCAAGTTTTACTGATGGAGATAATGCTGAAACTTAACAAGCACATACGTACACATAAACTAACATACAAGCATACTCTCACTGCTTCAGAGCTAACATTATTAGAGGTCTCTTCAGTTGTCTTTGGGGTTCTGTGGCGTCTGTGGCCTGTCTCCCCCTGAAGACTCCCATGTTTACTTAAGGGAATAGGGCGTCACTCAGACAGACATGTGGGGGGCAGAGCAGGGTGCAAATAAACAAACGTACTTTGAACCTAAGCCCCTCAAGCTACTTGTCTTCATCAAGTCAACATACCAAATCAGCCATGTAGCCTAACCCTGACTCTAACTCTAACCCCAACCCCAATGCTCACACATCTGATCCCACATCAACACAGAGACAGGAGACAGCGCTCAGATTGAATCAAGAGGAGAGATGGACGAGAGGTTTAGAGGGAGTAAGAGAACAGATGAGATATACAGTGCATTCGGAAAGTATTCAGTCCCCTTGACTTTTTCCACATTTCGTTATGTTACAGCCTTATTCTAAAACTGATTAAATTATTTATTTTTCTTATCAATCTACACACAATACCTCATAATGACAAAGCGAAAACAGGTTTTTAGAAATGTTTGCACAATTATAAAAAATAAAAAACAGAAATACCTTATTTACACAAGTATTCAGACCCTTTGCTATGAGGCTCGAAATTGAGATCAGGTGCATCTTGTTTCCATTGATCATCCTTGAGATGTTTCTACAACTTGATTGGAGTCCACCTGTGGTAAATTCAATTGATTGGACATGATTTGGAAAGGCACACATCTGTCTATATAAGGTCCCACAGTTGACAGTGCATGTCAGAGCAAAAACCAAGCCATGAGGTTGAAGGAATTGTCTGTAGAGCTCTGAGACAGGATTGTGTTGAGGCACAGATCTTGGGAAGGGTTCCAAAAAATGTCTGCAGCATTGAAGGTCCCCAAGAACACAGTGGCCTCCATCGTTCTTAAATGGAAGAAGTTTGGAACCACCAAGACTCTTCCTATAGCTGGCCACCCGGCCAAACTGAGCAATCGAGGGCGAAGGGCCTTGCTCAGGGAGGTGACCAAGAACCCAATGGTCACTATGACAGAGCTCTATAGTTCCTCTGTGGAGATGGGAGAACCTACCAGAAGGACAACCATCTCTGCAGCACTCCACCAATCAGGCCTTTAATGGTGGAGTGGCCAGACAGAAGCCAGTCCTCAGCCAGTCCTCAGTCCGCTTGGAGTTTGCCAAAAGGCACCTAAAGGACTCTCAGATCATGAGAAACAAGATTAAACTCTTTGGCCTGAATGCCAAGCGTCACGTCTGGAGGAAACCTGGCACCATCCCTACGGTGAAGCATGGTGGGGGCAGCATCATGCGGTGGGGATGTTCTTTAGCGGCAGGGACTAGGAGACTAGACAGGATCGAGGGAAAGATGAACGGAGCAAAGTACAGCGAGATACTTGATGAAAACCTGCTCCAGAGCACTCAGGACCTCAGACTGGGGTGAAGGTTCACCTTCCAACAGGACAACAATCCTAAGCACACAGCCAAGACAACACAGGAGTGGCTTCGGGACAAGTCTCTGAATGTTCTTGAGTGGCCCAGCCAGAGCCCGGACTTGAACCCGATCAAACATCTCTGGAGAGACCTGGAAATAGGTGTGCAGCGACGCTCCCCATCCAACCTGACAGAGCTTGAGAGGATCTGCAGAGAAGAATTGGAGAAACTCCCCAAATACAGGAGTGCCAAGCTTGTAGCGTCATACCCAAGAAGACTCAGGGCTGTAATCGCTGCCAAAGGTGCTTCAACAAAGTACTGAGTAAAGGGTCTGAATACTTATGTAAATGGAATATTTCCGTTTTTTATTTGTAATACATTTGCAAAAAATTCTAAAAATCTGTTTTTGCTTTGTCATTATGGGGTATTGTGTGTAGATTGATGAGGGGGGAAAAAACAATTGAATCCATTTTAGAATAAGGCTGTAATGAAACAAAATGTGGAAAAAGTCAAGGAATACTTTCCGAAATGCACTGTATTTAGGGGGTGTCAGGGCCCCGCATTAGCTCTGTTAGCTGTTATGAAATACTTATTTACTCTATATCAGTCAATGAAATAGAACGGAAGGAAGGTGTATGTTTTGATGGTCTGCTAACTGGTATGTTTATACCAAGATATGTAGAGAGTGGTAGTCAGAGGTAGGTTTCAGTGATGTTGTGTACCAACCGTGAATGCTGTCCTGTTCTTTCTCCAGACTCACTCAGAGGAGAGGCCGTTCCAGTGTGAGGAGTGCAAGGCCCTTTTCCGCACCCCCTTCTCTTTACAGCGCCACCTGCTCATCCACAACAGTAAGTATGAGTTTGTGTGTGTATCTCTCAGAGTGTGAGAGTGGTTTCATACTACGTGTGTGACTCACTGTAGCCACTAGTACCTATGTTCAGGGCCCCTACAACACATAAGCATACGGTTCCCAAATCCCCATAGAATATATAGCCCCTAGTTCAGACCTCCTTTTAGCATCAGATACTGAGGGCTCCACAACCTCCTCCTGGTCCTCTGTGTTGTGGTCCTCCTAGTCCTGAGTGTCATAGCCAGACAGACAGACAGACACAGCGGTCCTCCTAGTCCTGAGTGTCATAGCCAGACAGACAGACACAGTGGTCCTCCTAGTCCTGAGTGTCATAGCCAGACAGACACAGTGGTCCTCCTAGTCCTGAGTGTCATAGCCAGACAGACACAGTGGTCCTCCTAGTCCTGAGTGTCATAGCCAGACAGACACAGTGGTCCTCCTAGTCCTGAGTGTCATAGCCAGACAGACACAGTGGTCCTCCTAGTCCTGAGTGTCATAGCCAGACAGACACAGTGGTCCTCCTAGTCCTGAGTGTCATAGCCAGCCAGACAGACACAGTGGTCCTCCTAGTCCTGAGTGTCATAGCCAGACAGACACAGTGGTCCTCCTAGTCCTGAGTGTCATAGCCAGACAGACACAGTGGTCCTCCTAGTCCTGAGTGTCATAGACAGACAGACACAGTGGTCCTCCTAGTCCTGAGTGTCATAGCCAGACAGACACAGTGGTCCTCCTAGTCCTGAGTGTCATAGCCAGACAGACACAGTGGTCCTCCTAGTCCTGAGTGTCATAGCCAGACAGACACAGTGGTCCTCCTAGTCCTGAGTGTCATAGCCAGACAGACACAGTGGTCCTCCTAGTCCTGAGTGTCATAGCCAGACAGACACAGTGGTCCTCCTAGTCCTGAGTGTCATAGCCAGCCAGACAGACACAGTGGTCCTCCTAGTCCTGAGTGTCATAGCCAGACAGACACAGTGGTCCTCCTAGTCCTGAGTGTCATAGCCAGCCAGACAGACACAGTGGTCCTCCTAGTCCTGAGTGTCATAGCCAGACAGACACAGTGGTCATTGAGGACTGAGGAGCCCTGCAGACAGTTGGTCTTGGCAGGATGGAGTCCTGCATGGTCTCCCAGTCTAGACTGATGACACAGAGATTGTGAAGCTCAAGGCATTTCCTGCTTTTGTCTCTGGAGACAGATCACTATTCACACAAGTCACTAGGATACTGGGCCATGGGGCTGGGACTGGTATTATGTATCAGGTGCTTAAGTGTGTGTGTGTGAAAAAAGAGAATAAGAGAAACAGCATGTGGGAAGAAAGTATGGTAAAGTCTGGGGAGCCAGGCCCAGCCAATCAGAATGAGTTTTCCCCACAAAAGGGCTTTATTACAGGCAGAAATACTCCTCAGTTTCATCAGCTGTACGGGTGGCTGGTCTCAGACAATCCCGCAGGTGAAGAAGCCGGATGTGGAGGTCCTGGGCTGGCGTGGTTACACGTGGTCTGCGGTTGTGAGGCCGGTTGGACGTACTGCCAAATTCTCTAAAACGACATTAGAGGCGGCTTATGGTATAGAAATTAACTTTAAATACTCTGGCAACAGCCCTGGTGGACATTCCTGCAGTCAACATGCCAATTGCATGCTCCCTCAAAACTTGAGACATCTGTGGCATTGTATTGTGTGACAAAATTGCACATTTTTGAGTGGCCTTTTATTGTCCCCAGCACAAGGTGCACCTGTGTAATGATCATCTTCTTAATATGCCACACCTGTCAGGTGGATGGATTATCTTGGCAAAGGTGAAATGCTCACTAACAGGGATGTAAACAAATTTGTGCCCAACGTTTGAGAGAAATAAGCTTTTTGTGCGTATGGAACATTTCTGGGATCTTTTATTTCAGCTCATGAAACATGGGACCAACACTTTATATGTTGCGTTTATATTTTTGTTTAGTATATATACAGAGAGAGAGAGAGAGAGTAAGTCTCTGTGTATATGTTTATGTGATGTCTGTGTCCACTTGTGTGTTCCCTTCACTGTGACAAAATGAAGAACAGCTATCATATCATTTTTACTTGAAATAAAGTTGTTGTTTTAAAATCAGTGGAACACAGATTGCACCTTTTAAGTAGGGTCAAATGTCACTCTGTGGTAAGCCCTCAGTGTGTGTTACGATCCTCAGTGTGCTTGTGTGTGTGTGTTTGAGTATCCGTGTGTGTCCAATTGCGTGTGTCCAGATGTGTTTCTGAAGGCTTTATTGAATGAACAATAGCCCTTCATCTCTTCTCATAATCAATCATTTGTTTGTGAATGACTTAAAACCTCAGCATTAATGAAGGCAGTATTTAAAGGAGTCCCTGACATGAATATTAATGGAGAGAAGGCTTTTATTGGACCACTAGACCATTAATGGACACAGGCGTCTACTTGTGTCCCACTTTATTGTGCTGACCATCATGTTCATTCTTCGTAATGGGAGAATAAACACACGTTTGGAGCCAACACTCAATCTGCCAAGCAAACACACACTATCCAAACCACTTGATGGATACCAACCCTCTGATCCCCCTATAATGGAAAGAAGCACTTCTCAACAATAGCCTCTGTTGTATGGAGTCACTGAGTTAAGGTGTGAAGAATAACATCATGCTGTAGTTTATATGCCTCTGGTTGGGAACAGCTGAGAGTTCTGCTTTTGTTTAATGTCAGAGTGATGTCTGGTGTTTTTAATGTTTTTAAATGAATGAATAATTGAAGTGCTGGTTGCTGTTTTTGTTTTATTGCTGTAAAAATAGAGACCATTCAAAGAGCAGGCATCTTGTATGTTCACCGTCCTTCTGTTTCTGTCCTCTCCTGCAATCTGTTGCTAGGGAAGGATTCAAAATGAGCGTCATTTTAGAAAAATGTTTTTTTTTTTTTATAATACTGTCCAGAACATTTGAAAATAGCATTGTAGGGAGCAGCAACATAACACACAATGTTCTTTAGCCCATACAATTATCCTGGAGAATTAGTTTTCAGGCCTACTGTGAGTGATAGTTATGCTTTTAGAAGCACAACAATGGATCCATCTCTTTCTTTAAGTAGGGTCTCTTCCTCCCTAGAAATGAAGAGGGTGCAGAAAAGAGAGTGACGGAAAGTGTCTCTTTCTTTACTGTGTCATCTTTTGTCACTTCTCCAGGTGAGAGGACATTTAAGTGTGACCAATGTGACGCCACCTTCAAGAGAAAAGACACGCTCAACGTGCACATCCAGGTGGTGCACGATGGACACAAGAAGTACAAGTGTGACCTGTGTGAGAAGGCCTTCGTCACCCCCTCTGTTCTCAAGAGCCACAAGAAGGTGAGTTCAGCAACCACAGCCAGTCTGACATACTGTAGAGCCCGGTCCAGACATTGTCAATCTTTCCCAGAGAAAATCCTCTTTCAAATAATTACCCTATGTGTGTGTGTGTGTGTGTGTGCTTTTTTCTACATTGTTTTCTATGTATGAATGTCCTTCGAAAGTTAAAGGAAAGTATAGGAAATTGACATCGCTGTTTTCTTGTTATCTCTCTTGTACGCTGGACTGGAACTAGGCTACAGTATATAGTCATCCTCCACCATTGTTCCTCACGCAGCCCAGGAATCATCAGGACTCTGTTTGTAAATTACACATGGCATTTAGTCCATTAGCTCCACAGGGTTTCAAAGTACAGGACAGATCCCAAAGCAGATTACCAGCCTCAATCTGACATTGTCCGCTTGGGTTATGGATCAGATTGAGACCAAACTGTTTCTTGGCACATGTCAAAAGAAAGACTAAAACATAACATGGCCTTAGTACAGTAGGACTGAAGACAGACTGGCACATGAATTGTCTCTCTCTCCGGTCGGTGTTCAGAGACTGTGGACTTCTGAGAGAGAGCTCTGCTCTGGCAGTGATTAAAGACAGGTGGCTGAGCCCAAGAGACCTGGCTGGGACTGAACACCAGACAGTGTCCCAAATGGCACCCTATTTCCTATATAGTGCACTACTTTTGACCAGGCCCTGGTCAAAAGTAGTGCACTATATAGGAAACAGGGTGCCGTTTTGGATGCAACCCAGAGGTCTGACTGGGGATCTGGGAAAGACACTGAGTACATGGTGCACTGTGTGTTGTACTACACTATACGTTTTACATTTTAGTCATTTAGCAGATGCTTTTATCCAGAGCGACTTACAGTTAGTGAGTGCATACATTTTATTTATTTTTTTCATACTGGTCCCCCATGGGAAACGAACCCACAACCCTGGCATTGCAAACGCCATGCTCTACCAACTGAGCTACACAGGACTATAGAGAGCACAGTCTTTATCCTCCATTTCCTATTCCACTCATGACAGGAGAGTATGGATCGTCTAAATTCTGTATTCTGAGTTTATTTTCCTCCAGGTGCTGTCTGAGTGTCCTCTCCACTGACAGGTCGATCTGAACATGAACAGTAATGACGTGTTTCTCTGGCAGCCCTAGTTTAGTCTTCCTCTCAGAACAGCCTGCAATTGCCGTAAACATTCATAGATGTGTGTAGGGGAGACCGGGGGAAATGGTCAAATGTTTTCTATTTTACTCTATTGCTCAGAGACCACTTGAACTAGGCCAGTCATTTCTTGATATAATACACTTACATCTGTCTCCTAATCATTCATACCATTTATAGGTCTGTACATAAAACAGTAAGATCACAATATGGATTTTAATCCGAAAAGTCCGGACGTTACATTTGCCCTGTGCCAGCGGCAAATGTAACACCTAAAAAAATAAACTAATAAATGTACTTAACTTAAAAAACATTCATGTTTATGAATTATCATATTATCATAGACATATGTAATGATTTTGCAAGAAATATAATTATTTCTATGTACGTAACCAATATTTACTGTAACACCCATGTTTGTGCATGGCCATTGGGTTCCTCTCAAAACATTTGAAGAGTTTGATGGTGCCCAATGATATCTGTTTACAGCTTCTTTGGCACTCTACAGGACCCAAAGGCTAAAGTTAGTTTTTGTATAATGAATGTGTAATTCATACAATCCAAAACAAAAGCATAATTTGGCTGCTTGGCTCAGGTTCATTTTAACACTGCATTACAATTGCCCCCAACCCAGCAGCCATGACAACACATAATGTGCCTAGTAAGAGACAACAATAGTGACACATGTCAATGTTTAGTCAACATACAGTATAGTGATACAAATTATGCTAGTTTGAATTCTTGGGCATTAATGCTCAGGACAGTAAAAGAAAAATACAGCTGGTCGAAAAAAACAAAAACAATAATTTACCCATAAAACGTGCACATTGTGAGAGCAGGCAGAGAACCTAAATGGGCATGTAATGAGAGAGTTTCATCCCTCTAGCTTGTTTCAAGGTGATACAATTGCCCCCTGTTACAATTGCCCCCTGTTACTCCCCTACATGGAGCATGTGTTTTCTCTGTATCTGCCAGGCAGTGTGTGCCTTCGACACCATGAACCATCAGATCCTCCTCTCCACCCTCTCAGTGCTGGGCGTCTCAGGCTCTGCACACTCTTGGATTACATCCTACCTGGCAGGCCGCTCCTACCAGGTGACGTGGAGAGGATCTGTGTCTGTACCACGTACTCTCACTACTGGTGTCCTCCAGGGCTCGGTTCTAGGCCCTCTCCTCTTCTCTCTATACACCAAGTCACTCGGCTCCGTCATATCCTCACATGGTCTCTCCTATCATTGCTATGCGGATGACACTCTACTACTTTTCTCCTTCCCCCCTTCTAACACCCAGGTGACGACACGCATCCCTGCATACCTGGCAGATATCTCAGCTTGGATGTCGGCCCACCACCTCAAGCTCAACCTCGACAAGACGGAGCTGCTCTTCCTCCCGGGAAGGCCTGCCCGCTCAAAGACCTCTCCATCACGGTTGACAACTCCATAGTGTTGCCCACCCAGAGTGCAAAGAACCTTGGCGTGGCCCTGGACAACAAACACCCTGTCGTTCTCTGCAAACATCAAAGCAGTGACTCACTTCTACCTCACACAGGAAGCGGTGCAGGTCCTAATCCAGGCACTTGTCATCTCCCGTCTGGACTACTGCAACTTGCAGTTGGCTGGGCTGCCAGCTTGTGCCATCAAACCACTGCAACTTATCCAGAACGCTGCAACCTTCCCAAGTTCTCCCTGTTACCCCGCTCCTCCTCACACTCCACTGGCTTCCAGTCGAAGCTCGCATCCACTACAAGACCATGGTACTTGCCTACGGAACAGCAAGAGGAACTGCACCTCCCTACCTTCAGGCTCTGCTCATACCCTACACCCCAACCCGAGCACTCCGTTCTGCCACCTCTGACCTCTTGGCCCTCCCACCCCTACGGGATGGCAGCTCCCGCTCCGATCTTCTCTGTCCTGGCACCCCAATGGTGGAACCAGCTTCCCCCTGAAGCTAGGACAGCATAGTCCCTGCCCATCTTCTGAAAGCACCTGAAACCCTACCTCTTCAAAGAGTATGTTAAATAATCCCCCTCTTCACCTCGACCCCCAAACCCCCCCCATCCCTTCTAGCTATTGACTTTGCTGATAGCTACTTTATTGAGGAAATATTATTTTTGTTTATGTTTTGTGTGTTAAAAAATGACAGCGGTGATAGCCAACTTATTTATGTCACATCCATACTATCCATATTACAAGGATGGTTTAATGATTACGTCTAACCCCAATACATTAAAAAGTTTTGTTTTGGAACATAATGTTCCCCAGGGAAAACTATGAAGCCTTTTATGAAGTAAGAACACCAGTTATATTTCTCCTTGTCCTACAAACAACAAACCAAACAATTGTACATTGAGGCATCTGGAAGACATCTGTCCCTGTGTGTCTGAGAGAGGGAGAGTGAAGGAAAGGGCTTATGTAACATAACGCCGGTGGCGTGGGATGCAGGGGGTGATGGGGGATGGAGAGAAGAGGTGGATAGAAAGGAAAGGTGGTATTCCTGTCTGTATTGTTGTACTGCTGTTTAAACTGTCACTCAGGATTTGAGCGTCTTATACTTGTGTTTATTCTGTGGAATTTACATCAGGCCAGCAGCAGAATTCACAACATACCTACCAGCAGAGAGAAAGAAAGAGAGGGAGTGAAGGAGAAGAAGGAGGAAAGAGAGAGGGTGAGAAACGTTTAGCCTTGCTGGGGGGTGCAGCACGCTCCTCTCTTTGTACACAATCTCTTTGTGTGTGCATATAGTGCCCCCCAGTCTGGAGCGCAGAGAAAAGACTGACCTGAGTGTGTTTGAGGAGCGAGGGCAGAAAGCGGGATGAGGAGGAGGAAGAGAGGAGGAGGAGAGGAATGCAAGCAGACCAGATCTCTCTGGTCTCCACCCTGCCCCTCACCCTTCTGGCTCTTTGACTCTAATGATAGGCCTGCATCGTTTGGATTCTTTAATCCAGCTTCCAGGAGAAATACTTCATTGAAACCACTAGTCAGCCTGTAGGGTTCCCATGTAGAGCCTGTAGAGTTCAGAGCCTGTACAGTTTTCATTGGAGAGCTGTAGAGTTCAGAGCCTATAGAGTTCCTATTGGAGAGCTGTAGAGTTCAGAGCCTATATAGTTCCCATTGGAGAGCTGTAGATTTCCCATGAACACCAGTGTCTAGTAACAGTGTCTAGCGGTAGCATGCACACTAATGTCTAGCACCAGTGTGGTCTGGTCTCTCAGTGGGGTAGATGCTCCCAGTGCTGAACAGGACCTCTGGTTAAATGACTGACATCAAATGTTTGTCAGAAGACCACCCTTGAATGCACCCTGAAAGGGGGTTGACTTTGAGGCTTTGTAGCTTTTGAGTGACAATATACAGTATATTAAACAACTTTGATAATTTATCCAACACTTTATTAAAAATACTTTGTAAATGGTATATAACAATGGGGCATTTAATTGGACTTCAAGAGCTTCTCTGTTTAGTATCCAAGTGTTTTAGCAGAGCTCATAGTATCCAAATGATGCGTATGCTCTATCGGTGATCACTGTGTGCTCTGTAATGAGGGAAAGTTGTACCACTGAATGTTCCAATTGTCTTTCCTAAATACCAACAATATGTTTTCTGATCTTTTCCATACCAGACGCACACAGGGGAAAAGGAGAAGATCTGCCCATATTGCGGACAGAAGTTTGCCAGCAATGGAACTTTGAGGGTCCACATCCGCAGCCATACAGGTCTGTAGGCTTCCCATAACCGGTCATTTAGACAAATTCAACTATATTGTCATAATTGTTTGGTTAAATTAATCAACTGTCATTGTAACACGTCACATACTGTAAAACGGTGTGAGATAAACCAATCCAGTCTACCAGATCCACTTTAGCAGCCCACTAGCCTGCTCCCCCAGAGCCCAGAATGGTAACAGTGTCCCAGAGTGTATGTTCATTAAACTGCCTTCAACTGGAGAGCTACACATTCCTGTGTGTTTCCTTACCAACAGACTAGTGCACAGACCTGGCACAGTCAGATACACTCGTCCCATCTACCCCCCCCCCCCCCCCCCCCCCCTCCCTCCCTCCCTCCCTCCCTCCCTTTCTTTTTGTTTCTCTACTTCTACTTGTCTTTTTGGCTCTTGCCTCTCTCCCACTTAGGTGGGGAAAGACAGGGGAGAGTCTATCTTTCCTGTTCTCTCCCCTGTCTTTCCCCATTTATCTTTCCTGTTCTCTCCCCTGTCTTTCCCCACCTATCTTTCCTGTTCTCTCCCCTGTCTTTCCCCACCTATCTTTCCTGTTCTCTCCCCTGTCTTTCCCCACCTATCTTTCCTGTTCTCTCCCCTGTCTTTCCCCACCTATCTTTCCTGTTCTCTCCCCTGTCTTTCCCCACCTATCTTTCCTGTTCTCTCCCCTGTCTTTCCCCACCTATCTTTCCTGTTCTCTCCCCTGTCTTTCCCCACCTATCTTTCCTGTTCTCTCCCCTGTCTTTCCCACCTATCTTTCCTGTTCTCTCCCCTGTCTTTCCTGTTCTCTCCCCTGTCTTTCCCCACCTATCTTCCCTGTCCTCCTCTTGTCTTCCCTGTATGTGAGATTGAATCCTCACTCCAGTCATGCCACAGACATCAGCTGAAATCCTCTCAGGCTAAGTAGCTCCCAACAAACAATGGTGATTTCCCTTCCCCAATCCCCTTAATCTCTAGAATGTGTTTGCAGCTTTAGTACTAAAGTTTTTCCATGGGCTTTTCTGCCTTTGAGATCCAAAGCACACACATCATCACTAGAGCATCAATCACTATCACAACCATCACTACTATCACTGACCACCATCCAATTTAATGAATTATGTCTCGTTTTCCAGTAATAGCTACCTAATCAGGGCTCTATGATTAAGCAATCAAATGCCTTTCGACTGTTTTTATAATGTGCTAATTTATCTATTTATCTATAACTAAATATCTATTAGCCTAATACCTAATCCTACTTATTTAGGTAAGGATTTAGTCTGAAACCATTTCATTGCTTGCTCAGATCTACTCACCCTCTTTATAGGTTCCAAAGGCACAAAATAAAGAGAGTATGTGTGTGTGTGTGCGTGCGTGCGTGCGTGTATCTGGATCGTATGTGTGTGTGATAGTGTGGGACATGGCTGAGTCTGTTTGTAATGATATAGAATAAACAAAAGAGCGGGGCCGTGGGGGAATGCAGCGGGAGGGGTGGGAGCGGAGGGGACACCTCAAAGAAAGAAAGGAGGAAGGAGAGAAAAGACCACTCCAAGAAAGCATCCAGCGGGATGACCCTTGACCCTGACTGGCTGTAAATCTGTCCTCTCATTATATAGCCTAGAACTCACTCGCCCAAGCTTTTGTTGATTCTTCTGTAAAGAAAGTTGAGGAAAAGTGTGAGTTATTCCCATAAAAAACCTCAACAATGCTCATTTTGTTCTTTCACATTGAGGAGTTATTTGTTGGGCATACAGTTATTTCCAGAGCAATTTGAAGTGTTAGTTAGTGTAGCATAATGCATTGAATATACAGGGAATGCATAGTATGGGCTTACAAAGGATGCTATATGAACTGAACCAGTTGTGGAGGTATTTTAATTGGGATAGAGTCTCTCCCTTCTAGTGGCATCTGTCCTCCCTGCAGGTAGGATGGAGGAGTGACTATTAAATGTCTGTTTGGCTTCAAAAAGGAAGGACACTTATCAGGTTCTGTAAGACTAACTGTGTAAAGAAATAAGGCATTTATGAAAGACTTTATGAAAGTGTTGTCTCTGTATTAGGTGTAGTTTTGTCCATGTGGCTGCTAGTTCTGTAAATAAACCTTTAACGTGGCATGTCTCCCTGTCAATAATCTCTTTAAAGGAAGCCCCCAGCTGAGGTTAAAGGCCTGTGTGTCGACAGCCTCTCTGGATGGTACTAAGTTAAAGCCTGGGATTGTTTGTTTTACCAATGTCCCTTCACAGGAACAGCACAGCTTCACTTATTTACCTGATAAACACTAAACACACTGGATGCTTTGCAAGGTTTTCTCACAGCAAGTTTTTCCCCATGGGAGACGTTATCACTGGACACTGGTAATCACTGTTTCACTGGACACTCTGGTCATAACAGAATGTAAATATATATTTTGGAGAGGTTATGTATTAACTCTAATAATAATAATAATTGAACTTATAGCGCACTTTTAATTGAAAAACTATCTCAAAATGCTACATTGAATGCACTAATAGTATGGGATTTCTATGATGAAATGAATGGCCATCCCATTAATTTTGGATGTTGTTTGGCTAAAACGTAGTAACATGGAATTTAGCTGCCGATTGATTCCCACACATTCTTCCAGGCAGACAGACCAGGTGGGACACTTCTCCCCAGAGTGTACTGCTGGTGATGTCATGGTCATCCTGGGGACATCCTCCACCAAACTGAAAGTCCCAATCAGAAATCCTTCCATTCTAAATTGAAAAGTGGAAGGGGATGGGGACATTACAGGTGACTCCATAGAATATTAAGTATTAGTTCACCAGATGATTCATCTTGGCATAAAACTGGTGTAAATGCAAACGACCATCAATAGATAATTGGTCAGTGTGACAGTTTTCTACAGTGTACAGTGATTTTATATTGTAGTCCTGGGGTTGACCAAGGTGCTTACACCAAAGGAAATGTTTACAAAACCCAGTGCCTGAGTGATACTGACGTCATAGCAAATGTCATAGTTTAACGCTTGCAAATTGTCACTATTATAGAATGGCCCAGTTCAACTATTTAGTGTCTCTAAATAGAGAAGTTCTTTGTGTGAGATTTTATATTTTGGATTAAGTTTCTGGAATTGTAACATTTAGGGTTCCAAATGTATGATTAGCTCAACCTACGTACATTAAAATGGTGAACTTTGCAGTTATTGGTCAAACATGGAGATGAATTGGCAGTGTCCTCTGTGCAAGATATAAGAGAAGTAAAATAATTGAGTCATTCCACCCATGACCCATGCAAAGCTATGGTACTGTATGTCATTATAGAGACAGGGAAGCAGATGTCTTGAGTTCCCCTATGACCAGACCAGAGCGAGGAGTGGCTCTGTGTCTTCTGGACTGAAGACGATGGATAATTCTAAGGGAAATGTACTCTGCTGGAGACCAGTGTCTTGACAGTTGTTAAGTATGCAGTAGTGTCTCTGGTCACAACATGCAGTTCAAATGTACATCTGGCAGACCTCTGGAAAACACTGAAGGACCACTTATTATGGCTGTTTGTCTCTGTGTTTTCGTCAGCCTGTAGGGACATGATGTCATGTTGATATCTGAGGTCCCCTGGTTTTAATAGTACAGGCTGTCCCAGAGACACGTTTCTCTCCTCATCTCCTACTCTCATCCTCTCTAAGGCCTAAGGAGGTTAGTTTCCAATGAAAAAGGTGTATGGTGAGGGTAGTTTTAAGGTATGGATCATTGTGGTGTGTGGGTGTGTGATAGAGCCGAGGGCAGGACGTGAAGTTCTGTGATACAGGTACTCTCACATGGGCCAGTTTAAGAGAAAGGTTTGAGGAAGTTGAGAAATCTTTGGAGGCCCTGGCCATAATGTCAAGGTCAAGTGTAAAGTTGTTGGGCGTTTCTGGGCTGATCAAAGGCAAATCGCTTATCGGCTAAAACAGATCGATATCACATTACCTCAGTGGCCCCTGCTGGCATGCAGAGAGAGGCAGAGAGAGAGAGAGGTGCCGTGGAGGGCCAGTGTCTGGCTGGACTGGAGGAAGCCAGGAATTCATTTCTGATGGACAGCGATAATGTCTTTCAGACCAGGGCCTGGAGCTACAAAGCGTTCTCCGTAACACGAACGCTGTGCGGCAGGCATGCGACGAGCAAGACCATCTGCTTACCAGACACACACACACACACACACACACACACACACACACACACACACACACACACACACACACACACACACACAGAGTCAGGGGTGCCAAACGGATCGATTAGCAGACAAGGGGTGTGAGGAGCACAGTTGGGGGTGGGTGGCAGAGAGACACCCAGGGTCACAGAGAGATGGTGTCCCATTTCAGTGCATGCTAAATCAGTTACCATCTCCACCACACAAAGCCCAGCCTCCCCACATAATCCCCAACAATCTAGATAATAAGTGGATGCTTTCCAATTACATTAGTGTTCAACTGAAAGGACATAGCGCCTCTCATATGAACCATGCCAGCTCAAGGAAATGATTGGTTCTGGTCCATGTTTGTATCCTGTAAAGGATTGAGCTGATATTTTCGGAGTATTCTGGTTGTCAGGCGTGTGTTAGAGAGAGCTGGTCTGGTTTGGTGTGAGTGTTGCCAATGGTTTGGGGTTGTTTGTCAGTCAACTGTGGAAGGAGGATAATGTTACTGAACGTTTACGTAAGTTTGATCATAGTGACCACATTGTACCCTGCTGTTACAATGGTGAGGACTACTGCCGAGTGCTCCGTTCGCAGAGTGTGGATGTCTGTACAGTATATCAGTGTCACGATCGTCTGATGAATGAACGGACCAAAGCACAGCGCGTTGAGTGAACATGATAACTTTAATAAAGTAAAGCACGTAAATACAAAACAAACGACGATTCGTGAAGTCCTCTGCTAAACTGACAGAAACGGAACAATAACCCACAATGCCCACAAGAACACATACAGAATAAATATGGCTCCCAATCAGAGATAACGAGCCGACAGCTGACACTCGTTACCTCCGATTGGGAGTCA